TAATGTCCGAGTTCATATGAATGAACCCTGCTATACTGAAACGCACGGCGGTACCTAAAGTGCACTTTACATTCTCGTCGAGACATCCCGGCCTCGGGTCTCGCCGAGGCAGGACGAGACAGAGAGTGGCTCTCCACATTCTCGCCCGCACAGTTGTCCGTTCTGTAGTACAAGATGGACGAGTTAGATACGTCTGTTGCTGCAGCATTTTTGTGCTATATAGCTTATGACAATATTTTATTAATTCAAGAAAAAAAACTTGTTGAAATAGACGCAGATGATGGATGACATCAATACATCGCAACACTGCGGTTACTGCCGGCGAACTGCCGTGACAGGAATGTGGAGGAAAGGGCCTTGCGCAAACATAAAACTACACGAGAGCCCTTTGATTAGGGTCCGAAATACCGACACGAAGTGGAAACCACACGAACATAGGCGAGACTTAACGAATATGGTCACTATCCTGTGGTATTTGCCTGTTCTCGTGAAGTTTTGGCAAGAATGTGGAGCGGGCTTAATACTCGACCAAATTAAAAGATGCATGATGCGAATGAAGCTTCATACTTGACATGTGTCTTGATTTGGTGGAGTAGGTACCTATTACTTATTTGACTGTATTGTTCGGGACAGATATCAGATGGAGAACGGGATAAGACCCCCAGATTTGGTCATGTAAAGCTAATGTGTATAAGAACGTTAGGTGGTATAGACCTCAATGTACTTATCTCAATCCGATTAGGGATGTCCAAAAAAGGCCACGTTAAAAGCACCAACAAAAATAAAATGGGCTTGTACTTGTCTACTTATCTGACTCTTACAAACTAACGTGAAAAGTAGTTAAATTTAATAATGTGGTTGTAATTGATAAAAAAGTGCAAAATGGGATTTGCGTACTCTTACACTGCACTATGGGTAAGAGTTTGATAGGACTAGGTTTATCGGTTGCACTAATCACCGCCGTACCTTTCTGGTAACGTGATTTTTTGTCTCCGTATGCATGGATCTTTGCTCATCAAGAGCTGAGAAGAGTCTACTTGTGGCACGGATATACTTCGGTTAGAGTGGTGGTAAAGGCATATGCCTTAGGTCTGTTAAACTTTCAAAAATGCTAGACTCTTGGAAAAGGTGTCAGTTGATTTAGAACGAGCCATAACGACAGAAATTAAATTCAGAAGTACACTATTCTAAAAAAATGGTCGGAGACTACGCGCGTACTCTTGCAACACGTCGAGTTGCGTACCCTTGCACACTTCAGCCATTTCAGAACAAAACTGCTACTAACCCCATATGTTGCAAGTGACCAGAATCGTTTGCAGTTTGATCTCTAGACGAGTTTTTTGGCGATTGGATACAAAGTCAGTTTTAAAAAAATATGCTTGGTTTAGTAACAACTTCAAAATACCAAAAATTTTTATGCAAATACATAAACAATTTCAGACGTAGTTTCTTGGTTTTCAATAATTTTTGAATATTTTTCCGCACAACAATCTCCACTTCCTAGCACTACAAAATGATACTGAACTTAGTTGCGTATTGTATATAACTTCTCGGCAATGTACATTGCGTACTCTGATCGGATGCGTCGTCTTCGACCAGGCTGCCCTATTCATGTAACTGAGAACATTCACCTCACCGTGTTATTGACTTAGTACGACAAACGCTCATTAGAACTATCATTGTTCATTTATATTTATATAGTCCATTATTATGGAGCATTTGTATAGGCAAAGTGAAGCTCTAGCACTGGGCATAAATGGCATCAGAATGCTGAGTAGAGCTTTAAGAGTAAACCCATGTCAAATCTGGGCAGAGATGAAACAGAGAATGTAGGTTCTCACGCGAGGCGGACACAAAGTCAGTGCTTTTTTATGACACAAAGTGACGGGACGAACAAGTCTTACGTCTGGTGTTACTGTTAAGCGCCATGCCTGTCCACAGCAGTTGCAGTGCCACTCAGAGCATTGATTTAAAGCAAAGACACACTGTCACTGCGCCCGTTACCCTATAACGTAAGTTAACAAGTTTCATATGCCTGCAATTTCTTCAGCACGCAAGGTAGTAGTAGTATGTCCCTGGATGAATTCTTTTACAAGGAAGGACTTACTCCTTACCCCATGATGGGCGTATGAAGCTCGGTACCGGGAATTAAAACAATAAAAACTAGGGAAATCTTTCACTTCCTTAACGCTGTTGGCAATGACTCCGAGTTGTAATTAACGATGTTCAATTAATGGTCGCAGAGGTGAAGCGTTGCATTGGTCCTGAATGCAGATGCCCCAATAATAATAATAGGTAAAGTGAATAAAAATCTATCTATCACCTTTAAGGCTGTAGTCCACAATGCGGGCCCAATATTCGGGTACTCCGTCGCATAGGGTCGATCATTATGTTTTTCTTCGCCCGTGACAATCAGAAATCCAATCCGGCCGGGATGCGTGCCAAGGCATAATCCTTATTAGTGTGTTGCAGTTGATCTAAATGGAAAACACATTTCAACATTCCGTGAATAAATTCTCGTTTCAAAGCTACAAACAAATGCATTCATTGTAATGAATGACCATTCTCGTTTCCTACTTAGCTAATTAACAAGACACGTGCGCTGAAAGTAATCCCACCCGTGCTGAGAAGATAACTAAGTAACTTGTACGTTAAAGTGCAGCAAACATTCTACGAAGTTCAAAGCTAACACTGGTAATGAAGAAAATAGGAAACAACCAATTGTTATATCGGTTTTAAATTCACGAGATTCCATCAGCTTCAATTGGAAAGGTACATAAAAAATCCCTCGTCTAATTATGAACGGATGTCGGTAAAATCGTGCGTCAATCCGGCCCCATTTCTCTGCCAGGAAATGGCCCAAAAGCTTCCTCCCGGAGATGTTTGTGCAGTCAATAATAGAATCTATCGAAGTATATCAACCACTCAATTTAAGGTTTAGCTCATACGTAGGTGTACGTATACGTAAATGTAATCCTGGCGCACATCGATATATTCAGAGATAGTTCAACTACGAAACATTTTCTGATAGTTGGTTCTTTTTGGCATATTTTTAACAGTTCTTTTGAAACACACAACAAAGTATTGAAAACTACTTAATTACTCTGTTTGGTACCGGTACCCAGCTACGTAGCCCCGCACATAATTTTAAAGTAGGTACGTAAAAAATTGAATAGGTACCTATGATTCCAATTTTAAAATAATTGGAACGTAAGCTTCAATATTTGGCAAGTCCTTTGCATTATGTTTTTTATTAGGCACGTTTGCAATAAAAATTAAAAAGTTATCTATGCATCTACTTATTCATATCGTTGTGTCAACACGAATTTAAGGGATCATTGTTCATTATATTTCAAACAACATGCCTAAATTGACTATCCCCATTACCATACCCACGTGAAAAACAATAACAAAACTTAAGAAACAGATATTTGACGATTTTGCGATCGTGTATAGAATAGAAAATTTACGATCGCAAGTGAATTTCCTTTCGGGTGTGCGGAAGTAGCCACTCGCCTGTTATGGGCACCTTCTTAGCATGCGAGAACCACCTCGTAATGTCAATAACATTGGTACCCGCGTAGACTTATGATCTCTGAAATTTTTACATCATAATTTACTATCAGAATCATAAATTACTATCAAAATAAATACCACAAATCGGTTTTTTTTATATAAAGTATAAGTGCGCATTTGGCCTCCATCCTCCGGTTATTGTTGGACTAATGTTCACTACCTAATTCCCGTGGCACTTTTTGTTACATAAGTACTCTTTTTTTTTTATTAAAAACTAACTGCGAATTTGACTTCCATCTCACCTCACATGCACACCTAAATAATGCCTATTCACTCTCGCCTTGAAAAGGTCCAAGTTGTAACGTTCAGGGAACAAGTCTGCAGGCAAGGAATTCCACTCCATAGCCGCTCGCCATATAAATGTGGAAGCGAAGCGCTTCATGCGAATTCTTGGAATATCCACAACTTAGGGGTGGAACCGATAATGGCGAGCCTTCCTCTTTCCCCCGATGATGGAAAGGGGAAGGCGGATTAATTCGTGCACTTCTCTCGCACACTCTCCGTGATATATCCTGTAGAATACCGATAAGCAGGCAACTTTACGACGGTGTTCAAGGCTTTGCAGCTTCGCCTCTACTAATTCCGAGTCACCTATAATGCTTGTCAATTGAATCCAAGGTGGCCAGTTGATATGTAGCAGAGCCATCGCAAAGGTGGCAAGAGTACTCCAAACACGACCGAAGTTGTGCTTGATACAGTTGAAGCAACTGTCCCGGTGTGAACTAACACCTCGCCCTGAAAGGATACTTCAAGTATATTATCGTGTAACTATTAAATAATATTGCGCGATTAAAAAATCGAATACTTAAATAACAAAAATGGTCACGGAAATTAGATAGTGAACACTAGTCGGAGAATGACCGAAATCTACACGAATGAAACAACAACAATCATCATTATAAAGAGGATTATTTCGAAGAAACTGTTTAGAAAGCTCTTTAGAGTGCTAGTCGTGTTCTTTGACACTGTGTAAGTAAAATTATTTCGTTCCTACCAACATTTTTAACAAGTAGGTAGTTACACGTCGTACCTAGCGACCAATCTAGACAAACAGGAGGAAGTCAAGTAGGTGGGGGTAATAAAATGCGACGGTCATTGTGCGGACACAACAATACTAGTGCACGCCTATTATCTATCATTACGGTGGTTTGTGGTGTGCCTATTATAATACAAATTGCATTTTAAGTCGACATGAATTACTAAATGCGTTATTAAAGGACTATTGTACACTTAATAAGTTTCTGTTGACTCTACACACGTATAAAGCCAACAAGTTGTTTTGAAGCTAATTAAAATAACTACACTAATTAACCGTAAGAAAGACAGCGGGCAAAAAGTCTATGTTTTGTGTCGTGCAGAGTTGTAAATTATGAGCTTTATTCTGCCCTTGTCGTGTAGTGCGTGGATAACGTGGCCATACGTACCGCTTTGAGCGGGACAATCCCGTTTTTAAGTTTCGGCTGTCCCAAAATACTTAAAAATGTCCCGTTTTGACAAAACAGGACACACAAAACAGGTCATTAAATAAAAATTGCACAAGCACGCAAAAAATATATGAAGCCAGCCCACCAGATTAGTTCATGTTTTTTTAATTTTTGAGCATTACACATTTTTAGTTCTCGAGACAAAACTAGTTATTTAAGCTCTGTAACCTTTTTGTTGTGTGTGTCATTATGAGGGTGTGACGTAATCATTGGAACAAAACCCTCTACAATAAAGATTTAAAAAAATATATTATTTTAAAATTGTTTAATCATTAAAACGTTTCGTAGCTATAATAAACATTGTGATTTATTTTTAAAACAATAATAAGGTGACAGGCGTCCCGCTCTGAGGGAAAAAAAATAATGGTCACGTTTATCGTTATGCATGGAGCATAAATTATTTACGTTTACACGCACATTTAAATTGTTTCGATACGACAAACGGCTACAAATATGTGTTGTTGGATCGTATTTTTATTTGTTTCAGGGTAAACTTTGCAAATTATGTTTACGTTGGAGTTACGTGGAAGCGAACGTATCAGACGTTTTCTGTACACGCTTCACGGAGCTTGCCAACTATAGATTTATTTACAAACAAAATTTGAAATAGAAATTTCCTTGAAGAAACTGTAGACCAGCCAGAATATTCTAAATTTATTTGAAGTGCGAGATGTAATCTAGGTATATTTTCAACGAAAATATCCATAACTGCAGTAATACACTTGTTTGTTTTTTGGGATTTAACGTTTTCACTTTATTTCACTGGTTACGGCTTTCATTTTTGCACAATAAGCATTAATTTATGTTGTCTACGAACTGAGAACCATGAAATGGATGCCCGTATAGGTATTACGCTAATTTGGTTGCCACAACATATACGCAGATTTGATTCGGGCACTAAATTACCCAAATGGAAACCCATTATCTAAGGCTAGTTACGCGTAATTAATAACGCACACACTCAACATAGCCCCGCACTAGGGAAACCCTGTGTCGCGGGTGCCATGGACACACACATAGACAACCACAAATTACACCCAAACTCACGAGAGAAATAAATGTAAGCCATGCAAACATTTCTCCCGGCCCGGGAATCGAACCTGGGACCTCAGCGTGGCAGTCCGGCATGGTAACCGTTCCGCCACGGAGGTAGTTAATTGCACTATTCCCGACGATATGGGACCTAGGAGAAGGACATAGGTTATGTCCATACATTTTTTTTTTTTTTTTTTTTTTAGATTTACTTTTGTGACCATGTCACAAAAGTAAATCTTGAAGGCTCGAAAATAGGGGATGAAAGTTTGTATGGAGAACTAACACTGAAAATTATTATAGTACAGTAGGCTACCCGAAGTATTTATTCTCCACAGACGAAATCCCGTGCAGCAGCTAATATTATTATGAAACGAAATGACAATATTCATTTCCTTTTTATTTCCGCACGTTTTATGGCAGTTAAACACGAATAGTATCGGCAGCTGGGGACGTTTGAAATTCCTTGCGCGCGCGCACACGCCGTAAATTCAAATATGGTCGCTACATACCGCAATTAGCATGAGCTCCTTTATGAGATCGGATTTTTTTATTCTTCGTTTGATCGTTACTACTTAGTTGTTGCAAACTGAAATGGCAAGCATCTTTACCATTCTTGTACCCGTTATTTTTTTGTTTCAGGTCCAGCTTCGAACAAAAAAGGCCTGGGCAACGTCTACACGCAAGAAATCCACTCTACTTGATTATTACCACCGAATAAGATTGTACAAATAAATATAATTTTTAAAATGCTTATGAACCTCGCACATCAAGAGATTATAAAATATTTTTTTAAATATACAAAGTAAACTGAGGCGCTTTGTTGCTTACTTTATTCCTGTCTCGTTCTGTCATGCATTAAGGATATACGTACGTAGCATGATTGATATATGGAGCAGATAAATGGCCATTATGACGTGCAATACATTCTGGGGCGAGTGGACGTTTGTCGCGGTGCGGAACACGCGCACGCGGTCGCTCTCCAAATAGATTTGACCGAGCCTCGTCTAACTCTCGAACCGATGGCTTATAATAACAACTCTAACGAATTGCGATAAAGATCACATTGCAATATAGAATCGAGTTGCAATCACGCCACGTGCGGGAAGGAAACTATTCTTCAACGTCACCGCTTGCACCTGGGCCAACCTCGCTCTCGCCCGAACTGCACTATGCAGGAAATAGGAAATGTTACTAAATTATTTTCAAATCAAAATAAAACATCATTGGTTTACAATATCATATATTACCAATAATAGGTATTCGTACTTACCTCCTAGTACAAAAACAGGAGAAAATATGCGATTTACTTTATATTAAATTACATTAAAAACTACTTAGCAACATTAAAACATACCTTATATCTCAAAAATAATAATTTACTAACAAACAGTGTTGTAGCGATACAAATGGCTGATGCTTGTGTCGTTTCATAATCAAGCCATTTTAGTACAAAATAAAGCTTCTTCAAACTAAATGCACGTAACATCGTCCCTTAGAACTCTGACGGAATAATTAAAATTTTCACGAAAACTTATTATTTACATTACAATATAGAACATCAAATTCTAAATCGAACCACGTAAATAAGTTTATATTGTAAACTTCTAAGTTACGATCATTCGTGATAAGGGCACGATGTAACAGAATTTCCGTATAGACAGAGTTTCTAAGCTAACTAATTGTACAGATTTTAGCAAATTCGCTTACAATTGGGTCTATTGTTAACCTTCGGTGGACTTCAGTCTCATTCTTACGCAATCGTACACAGTACACGGCACATACGAAGCGTAGTCTTCATCATTTTATTTCCATTGGAAAAATGTTAATTATAAAACTAGAATAACAACTCTCACAACATGAAAATTATCGTCTTTTAACAGTTGCTTTGCTTATACGAAAACGCCATTTTAATACTCACCTATCTTTTTTGACAGATCTGTACTACATCCGATGTACATCCCGCTACTGTGCACGGGTGTTCTTTGAGGAATGTTTAGGCCCCAGGTCCTCTCAATTATCTAATTATATAACGTAATAAAAGCTAACATTGGAATACGTGTCATACAATGCATTCAAAGTTCTTTGATTTTCTGATGATTATTTGTTCAGTGGTTATGGATCCAACTTGAATATTTTTTAACTAAAAATACTGTTGTTGAATGACAGATTCAATGGAAAATTAAATTAATCAGGTTTTGTACTCATTGTGCCAGCCCTTGTACTCTCGTTCTCTGTTCGACATCCGTCAGAAACAATTGTCAAATAATAAGTAATACCTGAACCTGAAATTAAAAAACGAATGATACGAATGAAGCTTCATACTTGACAGTCTTTTAATAAATACATACATAAGCTCACGCCCTAGTCCCAGAGGAGGGGTAAGCAAAGACCACGGAACGCCAGTTTATTGTCCACTTTAATTTGGTCGAGTTTTACTTATTTGATTGTAATTGTTTCAGAAAGAGAACGGGAGTAGATCCCCAGGTTTTAAACTCGTCTTTGAGAATTTCAGTCTTAGCGACTATGTGATTTTAGCATAACTTGCAATCTTAAGAATACATTTCTTAAGGTTGTACTTTATGGTGACGCTCATTCGTTGTTCGAACCCAGCGCTAGTACAGACTAATTGACTCAAATTGACTTCTGATGCTAAATAAATCGATGTCGCAAGTTTTAAAATTGATACCACATTTGACTAGTTTGAAGGTGCTAGGGTCCGGAACTAGTTAATAGCAGAGTGGAGCGTGAGCAGTGTGTTAGACTAGCTGGATCTCGCGGCATCGTTCGCGCGTGTGTTGTTGGCGTTGGCGGGCGGCTGGTACTTTGCCACAGGGAACATGGGTCGGGCCTCGATTGTCGACACGGCTTCGTACCTGCGCGACAAAATACTTATCTACATATTCTTATATATAAATTGTTGTCACAAATTATAGTTATAATTATTAATACAAAGATCGAACACTCAGAAAAAATTCCTTCGATCCGGCCGAATTCGAACCGACGTCTTCTAGCATACCGTGCCAGACGCTATACCAACTAAGCCGCCCACGGAACGAACCAGCGGACCTCAAGAATTTTTCTATGTGCTTGCGTCTTATCTTTGTATTTGGTTTTTCAAAGACTTTTTAGCCGTAGTGCCGTCTATGAGAAATCTATGATATTTCTGTGATAGCATCTGGCACGGTATGCTAGAAGACGTCGGTTCGAATCTGGCCGGATCCAAGGATTTTTTTCTGAGTGTTTAATCTTTGTATTAATAATTATAACAAACTAGTATAGTAATTTCACATAAAAATAATTGAATATCAATTCATACTCTTTATTTATTTAGGGACTTTGATATAATTGTTGAACACAACCTCATTAGAACAACAATATATCAAAAAAATAATAAAACAATTCTCACACAGATAAAAATACCCCTAACCAAACGTCATTAATTGATTAACAGTTATTAGGCCTTCACATTTATATGGCGAATAGCTAAAGAGTGGAATTCTCATATTCCCTGAACACCATAACTTGGGCCTTTCAAGGCGAGAGCGAATAGGTGTTATTTAAGTGCGCATGCTTCGTCGACATCATCGTCACTTTCCATCAGGTAAGATTGAATTGAAATGCAGTGCGCATTTGAAGCTTAAAAAAAATCAAAAAATTGCGTACTGATACGATGTGCCCTCTGGAATTCCACATATTTCGCAATTTGGAGAATTCAGCAATCATCTGGCCAGACCTTAAGCGCGCTCAGCGTCGAAACCTACTACGCGCGATAGCCGGAAAGAGAAGGGTCGCGAGACTGACTTGTTGCTCTTGTACTTGTCGGGGATGGCCTGGTAGGGCTGCAGCGGCGCGTGCGCGTGGCTGCGCGCCAGCTGGCGCAGGCACGGCTGCAGCTCGGCCAGCGCGTAGCCGGCCGACGCCGCCAGCGCCAGGGGCCAGGCCGCGCCCGCGCACGCCGGCGCCGCCGGACGCTCTTCCGCCTGGAGGCAAAAGCCATGTCAAACTTGGCTGACAATCGACCTTCGTTTTTTTACTAAACTGACAACGGCCGTTGTTTCCTTTGGATTACATTAAAAAAACAGTGCAAAATTGAAAAATTTGCGATCCCGGTACCTAAAGATGCGGTCCAAGGTGTCGATTTTCAACATTTTCAAAAATATGCCTAACTAAGTGACAATCATCGAGAAATAAGGGCCATATATTGCTGCTAACACATTAGCGACATAGCTCTTATAAATATCAACTCTCGTTTGCATTGAAATATAGACAGGCCAACTACTTACCTGTGTATACGTCTACGTATATTCCAAAAAATATTCTGTATTTATTGTAATAAAGATAATATCTCTAACAGTGCCGTGCTGTTCTATTCGGCGATGTGGGAAAAAAAGCAAAACGTCTAATTAGAAAACAAATGGAATCACATTTCATCGGTAATTAAATCTGTACCTCCAGTGTAAAACGGTTAAACTCGAGTTTACCCAAAATGTGGATTTTGATACCATTACGTGTTTTTCGTAATGCTACATCGTTTGTTTTGACACTTGTGTTTATGCTACCATTGACTGCGGAGATAACGATTATGCAAAGGGATTAATGTTAGCAAAAATTTAAGTAATTCGTTCAAAATGGTTTATTTTTAATTTATCTCACAAGCAATAGCGACATTCGCAAACCGTATGTTTTAATTATGGTTAACGTCTACTTCTACCTGTATGAACAAATTAAATGTCGTACGAGTGTTGGTGTAAAGAAAACTGAAACTATACATATTTTGTTTTATAATACCGGCCTAATATTGTGTAAAGCGGTAAAAATTATGTTTTATCGATACCCGCAAACAATTTCAAAAGCGTGAATTTGTGTAAAGCGGTACTATTTTACTTTGATTACTTTTTGATAACTTTCTGATTTCTTTCGACAAAATCTACTTTAACCATATACATTTCCATTTTTTGTGTAAAGGGATACAAACAAATTATGTAAGCCAATATCTCCGTCATTTTTGCAAAATACAGGTTCATTTTACAATCAACTTATTACTTACTCTTTATTCTATCTGAAACGATTTGAAAAAATATTTTTTTTTTTGTGAACGAGTGAGAAAAGAACTGATTCAAAACGAGTTTCCGCTCTCATGTAAAATAGCATTTTTTGAGTTTAACCCATTTACACTGGAGGTACAGAAATATTAAATAAGTAATTTTGAAATTTTCGTCCATTATAACAAAGTTCAAGTTAACTGGTCGATTTGAAATGAAAAAGTTGACGACACCCATTGACGACACCCGTCAATTGTTTCGAACTCGGGCTGGCCAATCGGAGCGCAATTGTCACAGTAATGATATGGCTGAACAGTTTTCAAACAAATTAAATGACATTTCGCCACTATTTCTGGTTATATACTCGATGGTGACAATTGATGGACTACAACAGGTATAACCTAGCCTCTCGTCCGGGTAGCCCCGCTTGACGTTGAGTTTTGGGGCACCTTTTGTAATATAATACGAAATTACCACCCTCACCTCAGGTATATCCCTGTTCTCGAAACGTTCGCAAGACTCGCAAAGGAGGCAGTGTCGCGCTGTGGCGAGTGACGCGGCGGCGATCACCGACGGCTTGAACTGCAAGTACGGGTCGGCTTCCAACAGACACAACTCCGCGATGTACTGTGAAAATGTGGCGATAATTATCAACTTCACCCAACAAACTTGATTTGAGTCAATGACTAGTTCTGGGCCTGTGATACATACATAACAGCAATAGAACTCCTTCAGAGTTCGTCTAAAGAAGTACTGCAACCTTACCTATTTCTGTAGCTAAGCGGTAATGCCAGCATTACTGTGTTCCGATTTGGAAAAGCAAGGTTGCTGGTGAAATTGGGACTTGTCATTGGGAATTGGTTGAAAAACAGACACATGGGACTTGTCAACTTATGTCTTAGGATGACGGGCGCAGTGGTAGTGCACCTAAAATCTTTGCGACTTAAAGCTCTGAATGGCACTGCAACTGTTATGGATAGACGTTCCGCTTACCACCAGGGGCACGACTTGTTCGCCCCGTCACTTGGTATAATAAAAGAATATATTTTTAAAATAGGGCATTAAATACTTACAGAAGCCAAATGGAATGTCTTCTTTGATAGTCCATTGGAAATACAGTAGTGCGAGAGGAAGGCAAGCGATGTGGGAGTGGAGAGGTCAAACGACAGCACCTTCAGTATAAGATGCTCCATGCGTAGAACCTCACGCTTTGTGTATGTGTCATCAGTGATGTACACGAACTCGGATACCTCCGGTGGATACACCTCCTCATATTTCCTAATACAGAAAATAGCATAAAAGTAAAAAAAGTCAAGTATTATAAAATACAATTTTAACTAAAAGGATAACATCATTCCAGATCACCAGTTCGGCTTCAGGCAGGATTGCTGACGATACAGCTATACTTGCCAGTGATAAGAATCCTGACATTGCAGCACAAAAGCTGCAAGCAACTACTATCAACTACAATGCAAGCAACGAAATGATGTATCCAAATGGCTCCAAAAGTGGAGGATAAAGGCCAGTCCGTCAAAATCACTGCAAATCACGTTTACGCTGCGAAAGGGAAATTGTCCACCTGTGCAATTGAATAATACAACATTGCCTCAAGAGGACTATGTGAGATATCTCGGCTTGCATATAGATCGCCTAATGAGGAACCAACACATCTCTCAGTAGATAACAAACTTCTCATCTATAAAACAATATTTAAACCTGTCTGGATGTATGGCATCCAACTCTGGAGTTGCGCCAGCAATTACAATATCTTGATCATACAGTGGATGCAGAATGTTATCTTATGATCGCTTTCCAACGCAACATGGCTCGTCACCAACAATGAGATCCACAGCTATCTGAAGATGAACACTGTTAAGGATGAAATCCACAATGCTACTGTCAGATACCAGAAAAGGCTTGAAAAACACCCTAACGAACTGGCAGCCAAGCTAACAACGCGAAACTATGAAAAACTCCTTAAGCAGAGAGACATTTTATTCCTGAAGAGACAACACCGTTCAAAGAGTAAATGCCCTCACTTGGAGACATGCCCAACATGTGTAACCTACTATTCCCGCATTTGCTTATAGTTTGAAACATAAAAAAAACTTAATATTTAAACTTGTGGTAAAGTCACACCACGATAAGTATTTAATAAAAAACCATGTCTTAACTACAATTTTAAAATATACTATGTATTAAGATTAAACAAAGAGATTTTTCCTATATAATTATTATTTTTTATACAATTGACTTTTAATATACAGTTTTAGCAGTAGCCTATTGCGATAAACAGCCCACTCTATAAACACAATACTTACGCAGCAATGTAAGTAGCAGCAGTGCCCACTAGTTGCAGTTTGGTGCGGACAACACTCATGTAGGAGAGGAACCGATCTACATATGAGACAGCGAGATGCAATGTCTCACTCTGCTGGTTGTACTCGTCACACACTTCTACAAGCCAGTCAATGAGAATGGAACGCATCATGTGCGTGATATCTGGCTGCTTGCGCATGTAGCGAGGGTTGGCTCTGTTCTTCACCTGTGTAACAACATAGTTGTTATTTAAACTTCAAAATATAAAATGTGGGATGCGTAAACGGTATATTAATTCATAACAGGGTTAGCTTCAGGTGAATTTTAGTGAAATTAACCAATCTACGAAAGGTGACTACAAAGCTCTACATGTCAAACCAAAACAGTGCAAGTCCCAGTACAACAAGAATCTTTCGACTGCTAACAAGACACGTTTTTCAATAGAAACAATGTATTTTACGAGGTAAAATTGTAACAGCTGGATAAAATCCTTAAGTATCTAATGTACATACACCAGCACACCAAGCTACACATTGACTTATCTTGTTCCATTGTACTGGAGATTTTCGAACAAAAATGTGTCTGATGTGCCATTGTCCATACTACATATTTTTAAGTAAAAAAAAACGAAAAATCCTTTTTGTAGCCTTTTCTCAAAATGCTGTGTTTGATATTACAGTATATTGGTTTGACATGATAAACCTGCTGAGTACATAAGTGATAAAAATACATGAGACTAACTGGTTCCTTTAATTAAATGTAAATGATAAAGGTGAATAAATGACTAGGGTTGTTGCATCAGGGATGGGTGTAACGTAAGAAGAAAGGTGTGTGCATAAAAATGACGGCTGGTAGGGGAGAGTGGAAGAAAAATACATGTTGTGCCGACCCCACCTAGCGTGGGATAAGGACAGGAAGAAGAAGAACAAGATAAAGGTGAATAAGTGACTATTTATAAAGAGTTAGCCCTAAGTTTATTACTAATTCTTCTCCAAGAATTAGTGGTACAATTAGTGGTTATGTTTAATCATCAAAGTATAATTAGCTTACCTATGAAATAGTTTTTAACTTGACTATAATGTAAATGTTGCAATTGAATAAGTGGAACTATAATACCTGACTAATCAATATTATGAACAGGCTTCTCTTGCTTGTTTCATCATTTACTTATTCAGGTCACTTTGATAACTGAGAGAGTAATATAATGATAAATTAACTGTAATTAATTCATATTTTATATATAATTGCAAATACTGTTTACAAATTATGGAAAGAAAAACTTAATGTACGAAGGAGTTCAAATATACAACAAATTACTGAAAAAATATGAAGGAAATACAGTCATGCCAATTATTGAAAAAGAAATTCAAATTCCATATTTTGAGGAATTTTTCACAGTTTTGATGTTTTCAGTTTATGTCATTGCTATTAAAATGTCACCATGGCAATTGATATGCAACACTTAATTAGGGCCATGTTTTTTTTTTCTTATTATACTAGAACACCAAATTTTGTTTGAACACCTTCATTTGAATATTTTATCAACATATATTCTCTGTAAAAATTTTGTGATACGTGGAATTTCTCACTAAGTGAATTTGTATTCTTATGAGAAATAAATATCTTAAACCATAAACCACAATTTATTGAACAGGATCATGTATCTTTACATCTGCTGAAAAAGTGGATACTGTTGGACCCATTATCAATTTCCTCCTAGAATTAACTTCTACCTGCACAGATGCAGGTAGGTATTGGCATGAATGCCACGAAGAAGAGTTAAGTCAATTATAACATGTATTATTTCTAATTAGAAATTTTCAAACTCAATATTATTGGAATTTACTGTACAAACATTATCAAACATAACAGAAAAGAATAGAAATATAAAAGGAAATATACATATTTACATAGGTCTAATGTGATTAGCATTATTAATCTTTCTCAAAACGAGGTTTAAAGAAAAAAACTTCCCTATATACTTACCTCAATTTCTCTCATGTAATTATAGATGTCCTGACGATATTCCTCAACATGGAAGAACATTTCCCTGTCTGTCTGAGCCGTGGTTTTGTCTTCTTCATCCTCCAAAATGTCTTCAAGGATTTGACTCTCATTTTTGGAAATAGACATAGATAGGATGCTTGTGTCCACCACTGACATAGGAGATTCCGCTGTGACCACATCTTTCTTCTCTTGCAACGGTTGCCTAGATTGGATAGTTAGGTTATTTACATGTGTTAATAATTCTCCATGAGCAATGAGAACTAAGTAATGAGTTTAGATTTTAGAATACCAAGAAGTTTGGTGTAATTAATATTTACAAACTAAACTGCAATGACTTCAAGAACTGACAAAAGGAGCTTATATGCAATATAGTGTAATTATAACTCACCTGACTTGAAGCACCTCTGATTGTTTTTCCACCTTAGCACATAGAGCCCTGACATTGTCAGCAGCACTGACAAAGAAATTTTCCTTTTTCAGTTCTTTGGACACAAAAGGCTTGAAGGTAGACTCGCGTTTCTTCACCTCGACTTCACTTGGTTTGTCTTCATACACGCTAAAGGCGCGAAACTGAGCCACAGGGGGCACGATGTTTTTTTCATTTTTTATTTGTCGTACCGTCCTTATATCATCTTGAAGTTTAGACGGTCCATTCGCCAAGTCCGGCTACAAACCAGAAAGAAGTAAATATGATACCAAACTTGCTTACTACTTTAATAAACATGCATGGATTACTTACCAGTTTGAGGCTCCGGTTCTGGTTGCAGGCGAACTGACTGAGATCTCCAAGGGCACGCCGCTGTGCTGCTGAGAATACTGCATCCGCATTTTCCTTTCTGTGTCCCAGAGAAGCATTCTCTCTATCTTCGTGTATTCTAAATGATGCCATTGCCCTTGCTTTGTACTTCCGTAAACAGTCAATCCTAGATCAACGAAAACGTTGGTTGCGAATGCAGTTAATGGCAACCGAAGCGGAAATACGTACTGCTTCCCTGACTAAGAACACATTTTTCTTAATGTTTAGCGAGTAAACGAAGAAATAGCACAGTTTTATTCAAAATCACCCCCAAAAAACGCTAACCAACATCAACGGACAACAGACATTTTGGTAATTTTCAGCTGTTGCAGTTTACGTTGCTCTATTGTCAATGGTATTTCAAAATCAACCAATCACGTTCTGCGAAATACAATCTATCTCTATATCCAGACGTTTTTCGTTCAAAAACGCCTATTCTCATTTTTTGTTCAATATTTCCACTCGACGGCGCGCGGCGCTCATGTCTATGTGGGAGTAACTCGAATTAAATAACTCGATTCGCCCATCGCTACTATTAGTATAGTCCGAGAGACACGACTGAAAATTAACGGCAGATACTGACCGTAGTCACCCGTAATATTACAAATATTGTTCGTTTTCATTAGAAAAAAATACATTATTGCAATATAAATTTTATTTTATTACAAAAATAATAACAATTCGAACTTGTTGGCAGTCTCTTCTTTTAGAACGTCGCGCTGAGGGCCAAATAGTCAACTTCTTTATATGCAGGCAACGCGATTATTCGATTATACTTTAGACATATTTATTGTTATTTGGATGTTCCGAACTTTTTTTTGTTGATAATCTAATGTATAAATGGCAATAATTTTTTGTTTCATCAATTTCTTATTAGAAATAGTACACATTATAATAATTAACGCCGAATTAACTGCATCTGTGCAAGCAAAAGTAAATTCTAAGAGAAAATTGCTAGGTAATGATCCCAAACAACAATATTCTATTTGGACTCGCCAATTTTTTACTCGCGACCGACCGGTTGAAAATTTATATCCATCCTAATATAAAATGAAACTTATATTATTTTATATTTAGGTGGATATACATTTTTAACCGGTCGCGAATAAATAATTGGCAAGTCCAAATTCAGCATTGTTCTTAAAAAAATTAAACATTTTATATTTATAACAGAAAAATTAATAAAGTTTGCTTAAGTAAGCTGTAACGACTAAAATATGTATAACAAAGGTATAATAAAATAAAATATTGTTTAGCAAATTATTACGAATACGACCCTCAAACTCTCATTCTACCTTTCCTTATCACTGATTCCGTTTCAGCAACCTCGATGCAGCGAGAATAAGAAGTAAACCAAACATCACATATGCAAAGAAGAAACACGGGAACATTATTTTTTTATAGTGACTATAGGTTATTAGCTGTCATATCACAACTGTCAGTGTCAGTGTGGTGTCAATGCAGTTCGATATCTCCAAAGTGTCCAATACTTCGACTGTTTGCATTTTGCAAATATGGACAAATCGCAAAAGGTTTCGTGTTGAATTACTTTAGGGCAAACATAATTTTATTACTGAGCTGGACTAGACGGAAGTAGTTAGATAATTGAATGATTTAATTATAAAATGTGTAAATGGACGCATTTAGTTGTGGTTTTTCTGTGCTGTTCACAAGTATGTTTCGCTATACGGGAGTACAGCAAAAAAGATGTTGTGAAGCTACGGTGAGTATTGGCTTATTTACACTATGTACGAACCACTTCAAGTATTCAAACTTTCAATTGCAGTTCAATAAATAACTTCTGTGTATTTCAGCGAGGAAGTGCGTGAAATGTTCCAACATGCGTACGACAGTTACCTGCGATTCGCGTATCCTTATGACGAATTACGACCGCTGAGCTGCGATGGTGTAGACACATGGGGTAGTTACTCCCTTACGCTTATTGACGCGCTGGACACTTTGGCCATTATGGGCAATGCTACTGAGTTTAGGAGAGTGGTTGATATAGTCCTGAAGAGACAAACTTTTGATACCGATGTCAATGTGTCGGTTTTCGAAACCAATATTAGAATAATTGGGGGATTGTTGAGTGCACATCTTTTATCTCATAAGTAAGTAACCTATATGGTTTGATAAATCTGTGACTTTCAGAAGAAAAAAAATTTAATATGGGTTATTTTTCTACATAATCTCCTTTTAACTTTATACACCTTGACCAGTGATATCCCAACTTTTTTAACCAGTTTAATAAATATTTTCATAAAAAAATGTAATGGGGTCAGTCAGTCAGTAGCATTGACTTACAATTATATGGACGTCGGGTCCGCGCTAAAAAGT